TCTTTTCTTAGCAGATTATCATGTGAACTTCTGGTTCAGTTTGACTAGTACGTGGATATAAATATTGAAGATTCTTTTCATTTTATAAAATTTCTTGACATTATTTTGTATTTTGGGCACTAATCTCCCCCTAATGTCGAGAATTGATCTTCAATAAAAATGCAGTCAGCGTACCAAATTGTAAATTGATCCCCTAACATTGACCATAGGTACTAAATTATTGACGGAGTTTCATAAATAATGTATGTACCTTCACTGAGGTCCCATATAGGTACGCTATGGTGGTGATATAGAAATATGGACTGCAAATAAAGAATACGCAGATGGGAAATGTTTCGCTTCTTCACCACGTATTAGATAAAAGGGGGAAAATTGTGAAATACAGTTGGTCGGATTTGGTTTGAATGCCCCATTTAATTTAAGGAAATCCGACAAATCATATTTTGCCCAAAATGACCCAATCGTTCATGCCAGAATTTAAAAGAATTTGGGTCCCTAAATTTCAAACTCATCGCAACATGGTGTATTTTAGTTCAGACAAATTCTAAAGTATACACATATGAATAAAAACCACATAGGTTCACAAGAGTTTAAAGCAAACTCAAGATAAATTAAAATTGTCTGACAAATGCATATAATCCAAATATAGAAAAACCAAATAGTTTACCTTGACCACCTCGTTAAGATCAACTTCAATGTCCACTACCTCCCCCTCGTCCAAGCTTATGAATATTATTTTGAATTATGATATGTGCTTCAGGCACTACGACTGAACCAATTAAACTTGCATTATGGTTTCTCACAACAGCTGGTTGTGTTTTTAACAACTACTAATGCAATGATTAGTTCATAATGTTATGGTTTCTCACAACAGCTGGTTGTGTTTTTAACAACTACTAATGCAATGATTAGTTCATAATGCTTAATATTATTTTTAGTTGTACTATTGTAAGAGTACAAGGTTACTTGTTGAATTGTATTCAGTCGAGGGTTTAAAATTTAAAAAAAAATAGCTACATGATAAGATCTCCTACTATGTTCATAGCCTTCCCCTTGTCCACGCGTATAAGTAATTTTCTGAATTGTAGCATGTGCTCTAAACACAACTCGTAAGCTAACTAGTCTAACATTGTGATTTCTAATCATCAATTGGTTGTGCTTCTCTGCGACTACTAATGTAGATATCAATTCAGAATGCTAAGTGTAATTCTTGGTCATGTACTGCTGCTGGAATACAATATTATTTGCGTGGAATGGGGAAAAAACTTTTCGATCAATTTTGTCACTGTCTGTAATGTTCTGCTTACAGAGTATCAGTTGCTAGATAATGTGGTACAGAACTGAATCATATTTAGTCATGTATTTAAAAAAAAAAATCCATAATCAGTTTTTCAATTGCGCTTGAAGGAGGATTATATCTGTTTCTTCGTCAAAACAATCCTTCCATAATTGCCATAAATCTTTTCTACTAAGGTGTTCATTTTTTTTTCTGGGCTGAGGCTCCCATAAATATAATTGTGCTTAAATGGCAAGAGATCAGATAAATTTCAATATCAAGACCCAAGTTGAGTAATTGCTACCATAGAATAACTGATCAAGTTGTACAAATTCGTTCTTCGTGATGCTAGTATTTTTCAAAAAATGCTATAATAAGCATCAAAAGAAAGTTTAATACCAACCAATGCACTCATGTACTGTAGGTGTATAATAAAGGATAATAAACTCAACTTAAAAAAAACTTCTTTCTTAAATGAGTTACGGTATGCAGGGGAATATTGACTAAAGTCATGTACAACATGCAAGTAGTCAAAAACTTTTTTTTTACTTGCATTTACTACCTTGTGATTTATTATAATGCACCGGGTAGCTCATATGGCATAAGAAACAAACCATATAAAAATTTTCTTACTCATTCGGGCTGATATATGAAATTCAAAAGTCTATTGTGGAGGAAAGCAAAAACCATATGTGCATAATTTCCCCATGTGTACAAGTAAAATCATATATTTTTCTAAAATAAATTCGAATGACTAATCTGGACAAAATACCAGGAATAAAAGGGGTCATCTATCCTCTCTTTTTTTTTGTCAGAAAATTATCTAATTATTTATATTCGGCATAATTAAGCTTTAACGCTATCACTAGAAAATGAAACAACGTTGAAAAGGTTTGAATGAATTGCCAATCTATAATCATATTTTTGAAAAACATCTCTTGAGTCCCGATCCCAAAACTAGATTAATCAGTTTCTCTAAAAAGGCTAATCAAAAAGTGTATATGGATTGGAGTAACAATACAAAATCATAGATTAATCAGTTTCTCTAAAAAGGCTAATCAAAAAGTGTATATGGATTGGAGTAACAATACAAAATCATTTGCATATTTTGTTATTCTCCTGTTTCAAAAAGTGTATATGGATTGGAGTAACAATACAAAATCATTTGCATATTTTGTTATTCTCCTGTTCTGCAAGAAATCTCATTTTTTTTAAAAATATCCATGCCTCCATGCATCTGGACACAGGACTAATGACTCAAGTCTGACGCATGCAAACATATGCTGGAAAATTTTGTCCCCAAATTATAGCTATCTAGTATTAGTCTTTAGTCAATAAAAATATAATCATTTATATGTACAAAATCTTGAAATAGATGATAGCACAAATAGCGAAACAAATTGCCTTCTTTCACAAACTAGTGTTATGCTTAATAACATACCCAATGATAATAAGATTCAAATTGTTCAATTATTCTCAACTAATAGGGTCGTTGAAAATGTCTACGAAAGAAAACCAGTAAATAGAAAAGCTGGATCATCAAGATTACCGAAGGTTATTCAAACAAATTAACATTGTGATGGAAAAACATTTTCATGCTAGACCTTTTACTTTCCGGCCATCTCATGTATTCGTCATAAAATAAACTAACCATTAATCATGAAAAACAAAGGCTAATATGTTGTTCCTTGTTTCTTCCCTAGTTTTCTCTTATTTCATCAAGCTCTATAAGTGACTTAAGAAGAACGAAAGAGATGGTCTTGGAACTTGGATCATGGAATCTCTCCACTACAAAACTTGATATTAGAATATGCAATTAACTGGTATCTAAGGTCAAACATACTCTTGTCATACAGAATATGTGCTTAGAAAAAGCATGTAACCATGGTGAGCCTAAACTGATATCTAAGGTCTTCTTTTATTTTATTGATTGCTAACAGAAATATTTTATTTGAAGAAAGAATACAATTAAAATACACTTTAACATATGAAGACAACATGGTAAAAACATAATCAAAATCATATAAAAATTAGCACTCAAAGAAAAGAACAGTTACTTACTTTTCCACATGAACTAGTGCAGTGAATTTCAAAATTTGGACTTACACGAAAGATACGATTTGTAACATACACCGAAAGTTTTCTTTGTCATGGATTCAATGATCCCAAGATGGTTAGAGACTCGTGCTGATAACGTGTTGTAATATACTAAAGAAATGAAATAAGAGACAAGAGACAAGAGAAGAAGAGAAATTGTAATCTTTATTCCACTCAATTTCATTTCCATACATCGTACAATTTATAGATACATGATGGAATACAAAAGGACATGAAATTAATAGTCCACATACAAAGTAATGTCCACATATATTTTGTCTTTTAGATATCAACAAAATGTCTTTTAGATTTCAACACTTTTATAATTAATTATAATATATTTATTAACTTTATTATTATTATCATTATAAATTATTAATATGTTCTAGCGAGTGACCAAATATTTTAGGAAAAAGAAAAGAAAAGTATATATCTCATAAATTTCATGGATATTAATATTTTTATATAAATTAATTTTCCAAAATAACAATATTTTTAATTTATAACGTCTAAATTTTTATTACTAAGATGATATTAATTATTGAACAAGGTAATATTCTTTGTAACATAAAGAAGTAACTTCTATTTATACTATTATTAATAATTATAGTTATGTGACCTAATTTATTAAATGAATTATTTTTACTATTTTATATAATTAATAGTTATTTATAATAACTTAACATATATTTACGAATTTTGTTATTATTATAAATTATTAATATATTCTAGTGAATGACCAAATAGTTAAAGAAAATGAAGAGGTGCATACTTACTGAGAGGTCATGGATCATTAGTTTTATAAATAATGATATGATTGTGAGAGATAAAAAATTAAGAAGGTAAAAATAGAAATTAAAAGTTTTGACATGAATATTCACTTTAGTATAGATATAAATTCGCAATGCATCCACTAGCGGATCTTGTTAGGACCCGACTGGAACCGGACCCGTTACCAAACGAAGCCCAATCTCATAAATAAAACCGCGAAAAGCATCCCAAACCCCCAAAAAATCGCGATCCCAATCCCTCTCCCCTTCCTCCTAGCCCTCCGCCCCGCCCTCCGCCGTCCCCGACCACCTCCTCTCGCCAGCTCCACACCATCCGCGCCACCATCGCCAACCTCTCCTCCGCCTTCTCCGCCCGTCGTCGCCGAGCTTCTCCTTTCCCTCCGCCGTCCCCGACGACCTCCTCGCCAGCTCCACACATCCGCGCCACCATCGCCCACCTCTCCTCCTACGCCTCCTCCCGCCCGTCATCGCCGAGCAGGAAGCCCCCCATCCCCCGCCGGAGCTGGTGGACTATCGCGGCTCTCCCCCATCGCTCTCTCTGCTCTCGACCACCCCGACCTCCTCCGCGGCAGGCCACCCCCTCCCCCGTCGCCTCTCCCCCACGCCTCCTAGGCCCCACGCCACAGCGAACCTTTTCCTCTGAAAAGGGTCGATTTTGCTATTTTTTTGAGCAAAACGTCGTTTTTGCTGTTTAATTTTGAAAAAGTGGTGTTTCTAAAAATTTGTCCTTTTTAATAAAAAACCAAGCCCTAACCGCTTCCTCTCTCCTCACTCTGACGATCGCCGTCGCTTAACTCCGGCTATCTCTATCAAAATGGCG